TAATAATAATAATAATAGTAATAATAATAATAATAATAATAGTAATAATAATAAATCGTAATAAATAATAGTAATGATAAATAGATAAACAAAGAAATAAACAAATGAATAAGTAACAGAATTACCTCTCGTAAATATTGCCCAAATTTAGTTTATGATTAAGCCCTAAAAACTTGAGCAGAATATAATCAAACCTAAATTCAGGACATGTTTTAATGCAATCTTCGCGCGTCCGAAAATTATTTGAATTACCACCTTGACCACTATAAACAAAGTTCACACAAATTTGTGATTGTGTATTGTAATACCAACGATTTAAAATTGCATTTCCATTCCCGTTGGACACTGGCATATGACAAGGGTCACCAACTGAAATATGTTGAGATTTTTTTAAGGAATAAATCTGATTTAACACTTTTATTGAATTTAGCAGAATAATTCGAAGGAGGAGAAAAAAAAACAAGTAAAATCTAAGAATTAATCTTACTTGTAGGACAACAAACTGTTGTTGATGATGTTGCACCAATATGACAATAGTAACCGATACCACATATAGTGCTACTATCACTGTCACATAGTATTGGATTACCTTCTGAACTCATAGCTGGAAGACCATTTTCGCATGGATTGTCTAATATTGGACATGTTTCTTCACAATCCATCTTTGACAAGAAATTATTCTGAAATTGATAGAAAAAAAATGAATAAATAAAAAATTTTTGTATCTGAATGATCTCTGACATCATATATAAAATGATATCAGAGGTCAATTCAGAGGTATTAGAGATTTGATATCGTATTTAAGGGACAAAAAATTTTCAAAATATGACAAAAAATACTTAATTTTAAGAAATTTTTGAAGATTTTAAATTAAATTTGCATCAGTTTAATTGTTCTAGGCTTTAATAAGAAGAGAAATTGATATGATATCTTTGGAAGATAACATATCTTTGAGACTTTATAAATATTTCAAAAAAAATTAAATACTTCGTTAAAATAAACTAGAAATGTTAAAATTACCGAATTATAGGTTTGTTTAAAATTGGATGAATTGAAACAAACAAACAAACAAACCTGATTTCCACCTTTTCCAGAATAAATAAACTTCTCACATGTTCTTGTTCTACTATTAAAATAATATCGAGTGAGTTTAGCTTGACCTCTACCCTCTTGCAAGGATTGAAAGCATGCTTGCGATATCATTCCTGGCATATCATTATGTTCACTAGAACCAATTCTCATGTCCAGAGCTGGACCATTAAAATTTTGCATAAAATTCGTCGATAACAAACTTCTTAGTGGTCGAAATTGATTTGTAATTGGCATTGTATTGAAATTTATTACTAAAAAAAAATGAGCAAAATTATTGAAAACTTAAATTTGTAAAAATTTAAAATATAATTTAGCGCTAATAAACTAATTTTAAAATCGAAATAGAAGCGAAATTGTCGTAAATTTTAACTAATTTTAACAACTAATTACTTATAACTATTGCGATAGTTATTTATAAATTCCGATATTTATATACTCTCTTTGAATATTCAAAAGTTAATCAATGAATCATTTGTTTACATTTGATGATTTCTATTTAGAGATTGCTTAAAATTTATATAGCTTACAAGATGGACAGCAGACTGATGTTTGTCGTCGATCACCTATATGACACCAATAATTGGAAGGACATAAAGGATTAATAGATGAGCAAAATGCGACACTTCCATCATTTTCATCAACATATGGTAAACCAACTGGACAAGGATTATCATATTCTGGAAATGATTCATTATAATTTATGACTTTATGAAGTTTAAAAACCAAAATACAACAAAATGAAATTATTCAGCATTTTTGATACATTTGTAATGGTATAATTAAATTTGAATTTTTAATAAAAATTCCAAAAATTATTGATATTTTTTGATCATATAATTTAATTAATAATTCCTAAATTATTACAAATTCAATCATTAGACGTTGTTACTATTATTAGTAAAAAGGTGCATAAAAATATTTATTATCATTAATAAATATTTTAATTTGAAAATTTTGAATTATATTAATTTTCAAATACTTTTACCAGGACAAGCCATCCGACATTCCTGAATTGTTTCAAAACTATTATCATTACCACCAAATCCTGAATATATGAATGGTCGACAGAGTGATGCTTCTGCATCAAAATGATATCGTGGTAAACTATATGTACCTGTTCCAGGTGCAAGTGCTTGCAAGCAACGATTTCCACCTAAAATTTGAACAAATTAATTTGTGTTTGTAAAAATTATCATATTTTTTCATTCTGTTTTCATGATTTTAATTTCTTGAAATCGATCAATAATTCATATCTTATAACTGAGACTGATCAATAATTTATATCCCATATCTGAAACCGATCAATAACTCATATCATATCTGTTATCACAAAGTGTACAAAAGTGATCATTTCGTTATGTAACAGAAAAAAAAAAAAGAAGACTCACGAATATTTTCGATCGCTATATTTGGCGCTAAATTTTGCGTCCCACTATTGAATTCACTCGAAATTCTGGCATTTTCAAATGCAGTACCAGATGATGAATCAACTGAGACACCAGTGTTAACCGGGCTATTACCGGTAAATATCGGTATACCAGAACCGATTGATTCAGATATCATTCCACTTTTTGGTATACCATAATAAGAATTAATAAAAGTTCCTGCTCTAGTAAAATCAGATGTTCCAACCTGATTGATAAAATTATTTGATTGTGATATATTACTAAAATTCGGTTTAATACCAGTAGCTGCGTTATATCCGAGATATTCATTCGAATTAATTGGTTTAGTATTACCATAATTGATTGATTCAATTGGTGCAATATTACCAATAGCCATATTAGCACTATCAATCGAATCAACAGTTCTGCTTTTCATATAATCAATATTGGTGGTCAAGGAATGACCATTGTTCAAATTATAAATGCTACCGGAACCAGAATTAACATTTGCAAGAGGATTTGGCATTATTACTCTATCATTGATAAGTACAGTTTGATCAGTTCCTGGACAACAAACACTTTTTGTTAAATCATCCAGAATTCGGCAATAATATCCTTTCGGGCATGAATGAACATTTTCTGGTGAACATCTAAACTTTTTGAAAGTTTCATTAAATTTGAATACATTTAAAGGAAAGTTGAAATGAATGATTAATAGTAAGCTTATCAATAATAAGCTTATCAAATTTTATCATATGACCATTTATATAAAACTATACATACTGTTCTTGTACATTTGTTTGAATTTGTGGTTCACCATTTTCACATGGATTTATAGCGCCACAACTTTGTTGACATATACGAAATGTCAAAAAATTATTTTGATTTCCCTAAAAAATAAAATAAATTTATAAAATTTGAATAACACAATCAAATTCATTCTATATTTTCCTTATTAAAAAGAACATTAATTCAAAATTAATTATGGTAGGTTTTTTTTTTTTTTGTAATTTTCAAGTTAATCTATAAAATAATTTTTTTTTTCATTTTTAAGCATATTTTCTGCATTTAATAATTATATAAATTGCTATTCTCTTACCTTGAAACCGTTAAAAATAAATGTTTTGCAATAATTATCGTTTGCATCATAGTACCAACGTTTTAACCCGATAAGACCAATTCCGGATTCTTGTTTTTGCTTACATGGATTGTCAGCTTTTAAATTTTTTTTTTAAAAATTACAAGTCAATTTTTTGAAATACTTTGGAATTATTAAATATTGGAAATTACAATGGAAACTGCAATCTTTTTTATTAACTATCAATTTTTAAAATTATAGTAATAATAATTTTTGATAAAATTTTTAAACTTGATATAAAAATTTTGAAATTACTAAATTATTAAAGAAGAAAAAAAAACACCAATTATAGGACAACAAAATGTTTGTTGTGGTCCAGCACCAATTTGACAAAAGGTACCACGAGGACATAGGAATGAATCAGTCGGAGAGCAATATTGTAACTGAAATCCGATTGGCAATGGCTGAAGACATGGATCAGTATTTGCATTACTGATAAGATCAACAATTCCATCAACTTCTTGTTTTGATTGAACCGAACTAACTTCATTATTTTGTGACATCTGAAGATATGCATATAAATCATTCTTCATAAACAATGTATGATAGATTAATTCAACAAATTAAAAATATGATATTATTTCAAGTTAATGCGATCCTTATGAGGTTAAAGATCAAAAGTTCAATGATTAATTTTAACATTTCAATTTTCATTATCTTTTGTAAACGAATAAAATGAAGAGATTTCAAAAAATTATATAAATTTCATGCAAATTTCTTGTAAAAACTATAATATTTGATAAATTATTACGACAAAAAAAATACTTTTTGTTAAAGAACTGTGAAAAAAAAATCATATTATTGGAATTATTAATTAAAAATTGAAAACTTATCACCTGAGAAACAACATTTTGAACATTAGGAATTTTCACCAAATGGTATGCTATATTTATTGGGATTGTTAGTTGTCGAAATTAATTCTAAATATTGAATAAAATTAATTTGAATAAAAATTGATGGTAGAAATATTTCAAATTTCATTTATTAAATATATAAACTGTTTCCAGTACCAGTTTTTATGGTTGATGATAAATTCCAATATGATATTGTTGGTATTGCAATTTCAATATTAGGTTTTCGAGTACTTGATAAGAAGATATTTGATGAATTGGTTATCGATGTTATCGACGACAAAAGATCTGGATTGAAGATGTCTTTATAGTAGCAGTAGTGGTAGAAGTAGTAGAAACCACTTCTAATTTTTTACTTATACAGTAAAGTAAATGGTACATGTACGGTAAGCGATAATGGTGGTACTATCAACGCTAAATATGTACGGTAATCTTTTGAAAAAATATTCGAGATATCCCAGAGCATAAAATCCTTCTCTGATGTTTTTTAAAATCTTTCTAGTATTTTAATACCAATTTATTCATGTTCTTTTTTCACTTCCTAAAAACACTGGTAAGTTTTACAATTCCTAATTCATTTGAAATTTTTTATCTAAATCAATCGCATAATTAATAAATTTTGGAACATTCAGTAAACCTTTAAACTTTTCGAAATTCAATGTTGATTCGGTTGATGATGTTGACATTGACATTTCTGTTGCAGTAATTTGAGTGGTGACGAATGGCATTGATACGATGGTTGTAGACAATCCTGCTGATCAACATTTTAACAAATAACAAAATATTATACAATAATCAATTTTAAGTATTAAATTACCATAATAAAGCAACTATTAAACATTATCCGGAGTAATATTAATAATAACAATTAATCAATATTGCTATCTTTCATCATTAAATGATGATGTATTTTTGCTCTTCTTACCAGAATTTAAGCATATTTCTGAGCATTGTTGATGTTTGGCAAAACGATTATTATTGCCACCAAATCCAGTGTAAACAAATTGTTTACAAGCATTATTTCGTGCATCATAGTAAAAGCGAGGAATTTTATACGGACCAGTACCCGGTACTTTTGGATGTAGACAAATATTAACATCACTAGTATTCCCTGGAAAAAAAAAGGAAAAAGAATTTTGTATTATTTCATTTACTTTACTTATCTAATTTGTATGTTTATTTATCTTACTTTATTTAATAATACCTATTTATTTACTAAATAGTTTTCATTTTTATTATTAATAATTTTTACCATAAATATATGTAATGTTATGTTTATTCAATAAATTTCACAATTTTCAATATTTCAATTATTTTTTTGTTTCGTTGAACAGTTTAAACAAAATAAAGGAATGTTATAAATTTAAAAAGAAAAAAATTCAAAAAAACAATCATTTACTCAATTTATGTCTTGTATTTTCATTTTTCCAATAAATTGTTACTTTTTTTTTGCTCCCAATTTTTTTCGTTTTTTTTACAAATTATGATCATTTAATTAATGCTATTTTAGTTTTTCGTCTTTTTAATTACAAATAAATTTTTAGAATTGAATTTTTATGATATATGTTTTGCTTTTTTTTCCCCGACATCTTTTCAAATGTAATTTTTATAGTTTTATTCTGTAAGAAAGAAAAAAAAGAAAAAGTTCAAAGATTGCATTATATTTAAATTTTTTATAAAAACTAACCAATTCCACAAATATCCAAACATATATGATTTGTTTCAAAATTGTTCGCATTACCTGCTGTACCCAAATAATTGAATTGAATACAACGATCAGCGGCAATATCAAAATACCATCTAAAGAAACGAAAAATTTTTTGAAATTTATATTTTTCTTTTTTTCAAAAAAAAAAAGAAAAAATTTGCCATATTTTATAAAAAGTACATAATACTAAAAATATGTGTCATTAATTAATATTTAAGTTTTAGTTCAAAACCTGTAAAATTAACAAAAAATATTAGCAAATATGCATAATTCCTCAATTAATCATTTTAGAATTGAGCAATAGTAGTAATAGTATTCATTGATAAGTTTTAATTTGTATCATTCTGAGAAGTTAATCAATTATTACCGATAGGATGGTGAATGCCAGTAACACTGGTTCCTCGGTCTGGAATTAGTTCACAAGGATTTAAGGTAGCATCTGAAAATTGTAAAATTTTAGAATATATCACAGGGATTCCTTTAATCTTATCATAATAAAATATTAGAAATAGATATAAAATACATCAGAAATATTGGAAATTAAAAATTAATATCATTTTATACTGATAAAATGGGATTAAATTAAGATTAAATTAACATGAGAAATTTGTTAATTTTATTGGCCATATTTGAGGTCACATATTATTTTATTGGTCAAATTTGAAGTCATATTTCTACTACTATAAAGTAAATTTTATAGAGCATAATAAAAAGCATTAGTAGATATTTTTAGATAAAATAAATTTGAATTCGAAAGATTTTTTCTAATTAGTCGAATTAAAAAATTGATTTAATAATCTGAATTGGAATTGAATTAAGAGTATTTTAAAAAAATTAAAACGAATACTTTGAATGATCTTTTGTTGCTCATTTATTGAATACTTTTGATTACCAATATCAAAATTATTTGAAAATGAACTATATGCTAATGATGATGCAGGTGGTTGTTTACCTAAAATATTCATACCAAATAGAAATGTATTAAAATTGGAAATGGAATATCAATTAAAAATTAAAAATTGTACAAATTTTCATGTCAATGCAGTAAAAAAAAATGGTAATTATTCAGAATGAATGTATAACAACATACCCAATAAATAAAATCATAATTTACCTAAAATGAAACCATAATTTACCCGAAATCATAATTTTAACTTAACCATAATTTACCTAAAAATAAATGAAATCATAATTTGCCTAAAGTATGGAGCAGTTTATTCAGGATAATGAAAGTGATAAATTGTTTAAGACGAAACAAAAAACAAAAGATAATCTACCTTAGTAACAATTTAAGTAATAATTTACTCAAATAATTTGCCCGGAATAATAATTTACCCAAGTCTAGATAAATGAGTAATGAGTAACAATTTACCCAATTATTCTTTTTTATCATGTACTTTTGTTCAAACAATATCACTCAATATATCAAATAAAGGTGGATAATAATTAATACAAAATAATAAGTAATAGCTTACCCACTAAGAAAAGTTATTAATTTACCCTAAAACAATACATAACAATTTACCCAATAAAGGAAGCACTAATTTACTTCCCTCCGAAAGAAAAAAAAAGGAAGCAAACAGTTATCAAATAAAAGAGAGCAATAATTGATCTAAAAAATGAATGATAATTTTACCCAATAGAAGGGGTAATAATCTACTTCCCAAAAGAAAAAAAAAGTGAGCAATAATTTATTGAATTAAAAAAAAAAGAAATTAATCCAAAAGAATGAATAATATTGCATAAATAAATTAATATTTTATTTTCTAAAAACAAAAAAAAAAACTAAGTACCAATAATATTTAACCCAAGAAAAGAAAAGTAGGTAATAATTTACCCGAAAAAAAAAAGAAAAATGAGTGATAATTTACCCAAACATGCTTTTTCACAATCTGTTTTAGTTTGAAAATTATTCTCATTTCCACCATATCCAGCATATATTAATTGTTTACACGTGGAACTTTTCCAGTCATACCAAAATCGTTGAATTTTTGCGCTTCCATAACCATTTGTTGGTGTTAAATGGCAACGTTCTTTGACTACAATTTGATATTAATTAATTTATTGAAATAAATTACTGAAAAAAGAATACTGGATAATTGCTAAAAAAAATTAGATTACTGAAAAAAAATTAAAATAAAAAAATAATTAGTTAAAAAAAATAAATTACTAAAAATTAAATTAAAAAAAAACTAGTTAAAATAAATTATTGGACAATTAAACAAGTATAAAATTAATAATTATAGTATAAAAGATTAAATATGTGGATCATAATTGGTTTTTCAATTAAATTTTCAATAATTCATTTTGCTCCTAACAAATTCTTTTATTTTATTTCATTTTTTTTTTAAACCGTACCTTATTGCCTTATAATATGATGT